AGAGCCAAGGCACCAGTGACCCCTGTTTCCATCCAGGGGGTCCCTGTGGACATTGTGGAGGATTACAAATACCTGGGAGTGCACATGGACAATAAACTGGACTGGGCCAAGAACACTCAAGCCCATCTACAGGAAGGGCCAAAGCCGTCTCTATTTTCTGAGGAGGACAATGTCTCCCACCCACTCCATGACTTGCTGCTCAAACACAGGAGCACTTTTAGTGCAAGAGTCATTCCCCCAAAATGCACCACAGAGCACCACAGGAAGTCATTCCTGCCTGTGGCCATCAAACTTTATAACTCCTCCCTTTAAGTTTCTGACACTTAGTCAGTTATTAAACTAGACCTCATTACTTATTTTCTGTCCAATATTACCTGTTTAATAAGTAAAGTGCAATATTCTCTGCTGCTATTTATTCACTTGCCCTTTTTGGTTCACCATAATAACTCTTAATAATGTAAATATTGTACATACCCACACACCTTTATATTGGTCTTTTTTTTTATATTTATACTATTATATTTATATACTCTTTATCTATCTGCCTTTGACAAGTGCAACTGTGACAAAAGAATTTCCCCTCGGAGGCAATAAAGTATTTCTGATTCTGATATCTGTCCTCATTTCTTTCTCCTCCAGATGCTCCAAAGCTTCCCTCTGTGTCAGTGAGTCCCTCTGCTGAGATAGTGGAGGGTAGTTCAGTGACTCTGACCTGCAGCAGTGATGCTAACCCAGCAGCTAATTATACCTGGTACAAGGAGAATGAAGACTCACCAAAAGCATCAGGACAGAACTTCACCATCACTGACTTCAGAGCTGAACACAGTGGGAATTATTACTGTGAAGCCCAGAACAGAAGAGGACGTCATAACTCCACCTTACATCTGACTGTTGTGGCAGGTGCATTTTTCTACATTCACCTGTATACACAGATGTTTACTGCACCAGACCTGATTCACATGTTAATATGTAAAAACCAACACATTGTCACTCCTATAGCTGGTACAACGGAAATAAAATTTCAGACTGTTTTTCTGTAGCTGTGACTACAGACAGTATCAACTGGCAAAATGACTTCCCAATCTAATCGTACAAGTAAGGTATATCACATATATATTTTTTATTTCTAGGGAATTCAACAATAGTCATGAATATCATCAGGTTGACTCTGGTGGTCTTGATGCTGATTCCTCTGCTTCTCCTGAATCTGTGGACGAGGTAAAACAATCACAATCCATCAGTTCAGTCACCGCTCTTTTATTCTTCAAACTTCCTTTAGTTTTAGTGTTTTGAATTTCATTATTGTTAAAATTTCTATTTGTTGTTGTTGGACTCAATCCAGGAAGAAGAAAACTCGGAGCTCCACCTCTGAACCAAATGAACCTGGAGAGACGATAGAGGTGAGAGAGAGGTCCTGTTGACAAAATGTTCCCTAAATCACAGTTATAATAACTTGACTCATAAATGCTCTGGAAAGTGTGAAGTGAATTTATGTTTGAAATACAACTTGCTGAGTAGAAACCAGTAATACGTTTACTTGTAAACGTGACTGAATACATTTTTGATCAAATCTAATTATATGCAGGTTTCATGAAAGAGGTCCATTGAGCCTCATTTTGTCGTCTCTCCCATCAGTTAGACTCTGATCCTGCGTATGTCAGTGTCTCAGACTTTAAGAGCGTCACTGCAGCACAGACAGAAGACACAGAGCAGCAGGAAGACATGGTGTGAAGTCCAGTCAGGTTAGAGCCTCCTGCATCCAATAAAACAGGCCGACTTCAGATTTACAGTTAAATTTAAAACTCTAACTTTACACAAGTTTTATGTGATTTTCTTCAGTTGCAGTTGAAGCAGACTCACCTCATGGTAGGACGGCATTGAAGCATCACAGTAGAGCGAGTCTGTGGAGGAAGTGGATCCATTTACCTTCAACTCCAAAAGTTTTCCTTTTCAGTTCTCAGTAGCAGCAGCAGGGTGGAGTCAGCAGCGCAGACAGTCAGCAGCAGCATGTAGCAGAAAATCCTGACAAGCTTCTGTGTGCAGCTATCAAGACAAATAAAATTCAAATGCTTTGGCTTATTGCTCACATTCTCAGTTCTTGTCACTATGAGGATGAAATGTGCCACAGCGTAACAGATTATTATTATTCGGGATGTTGCTAATATAAAGATGCACAGACAGTTTAATGAAGAGGACATTAACTTACATTTGAGCTCTAAATGTCAATTTAGTCCATTTAAACTCTTTGGGGTCATTCATGGAAGCAGAGCAGGTCGAGGTTCACTAAGTGTGAAGCCTTTCAGAATAAGAGCCCATCATCGATAGTTTGTGCAACACCTTAATTATGAGTCTTTGTTCAGCCAAAATAAGTCAATTATCAAAAGTTTGCTGCTATTGCAATATCTAATATGCTGCTCCCCAATGTGAGCTATTGACACTTTGTGAACTTAATCTGCGCCTGTAATACTAAATAAAGTGAATGTCCAGGGTAAAGCTAAAATGCAAATAGTTTCAATAATAAAATGTGAAAATAAAACGCCAAAGTAAATTTCAATTTGACTTAACAATCAGTGATGGATGGTAAAATTTTTCAGCGTCCTGATTCAGTATCTGTGATGTTTCACTGCCCTCTAGTGGTGAACCTTTGTTGTGGCACATTCAGGCTTCCTCACTCTGAGAGCTCCCTCCACTGTCTGTTTCAAAGAATCACTTCAACCAAATTACAAGAAGACATATTTTCTGTCTTACCTCCAGCAGCATCTTGTCAGATGTGCTCTGTGTTACAGTGACACAGAGTCACAATGACTGTGAGTGAGAGAGCTGCAAAATGTAATTCATTGTTTCTGATCTACTTTTCTTACATGTTTCTCAATACTGAATAAACACTGAGCTCAGCACGTGACTTTTTACATCCCATACTGCTGCAGTCCATCTCTTTGAACTCATACTGGTATAAAGGTTATTTCACTGTCTAAAGATCCACTGGAAGTGTCAAGTGAGCATCAAACCAACTTAAACACCTTTCTTGTTTTTGCGCTTGTTTTTTTGAATGGTCTTTTCTTAAACAGGTTTGATACCAACAGTAATATTATTTATTATTAAATTATTATTCTCTTATTTATAGTTGTAAAATGTCAAACTTTATTTTGATGTGGGTGTTGATATTTGATGTTGCGTTCAGCCCATCGTGTATATTAGTAATCTAAAGAGGAAGGAAATCTATTTGTTTAACATCCGTTTTTTGCTCACTGACCAGAGAGGAAAGGTATCTTTAAAGACAGCGTCCTTCTTCACTGTAAGTAGAATTATTTATTGATGAGACTGATACTGTATATCCCCTGTGTACATTAGTTTATCTGCTGACATGTTTTATTGTCTCTGAAGCCACACAGAGAGATGAGAGGAGCAGCTATGAGTTTAACTGCAGCAGCGAGAGGATTTGTCGTCTCCCTTCTCTCTGTGTCAGGTACTGAATATCTAAACTTACATTCATTGCAATAAAAGAGGGAATATGTGAAAATGCTGGTCTTGTAAAAGTAGGCTGAAGGTCACATGTAGAAATAAGCGGCTTAGAGTTGTGTGAAAGGCAAACCCAGAAAAGCTAGAAACATTGGTTTTAATTTACAGTTGTGGAAACTCCCCAGATGTTAATATTTTTTAATATAGTTGTTTGTGTTTGTGTACATTTTATTGGATATTAGAAAGTTTGCTGTGGCCAACTTCTTTTGCTTTGTCCTTTGCAAAAAGTAGGCTACCTGTGTGCTAAGTACTTTTACATGCTGTAACTGAGAATATCGTGGTTTTTAATTGTGACTCTTTAAAAACACATTGTCCTGTTTAATTTGCTCTATAGCTGAGCCTGCAGCTGCTTTTATCACAGTATAGTTTTTGGAGGTATATTGGTCTCACAGTGAAGTCATCACAGACGGACTTCTCTCAAATATTCATACATCTGCACCAAACCCTGCTAGTTCCTTTTGTAATGTCTGACATCAGTGTGATGTTTCCATGTTCAGCGTCAAAAACGGTTTTCAGATTTTATCTTTTGTTTATATCATAACTGCCATAAACAATCTCTCACACCTCAGTGTTCTGCATTTATTTTTCGTCTTCACACTTACGCAGCAACCTGACCACACAATGAACAGAGAGAACTGACCAAGAAAAGCACAGACTCTCCCATAACTGATACAGTATTTCTCCTCTTACTTTGGTTAGTAGTGTTGTAGTCAAGACCAAGAACAAAGTTTATTGAGACAGAGTCAAAATCAAACATTTATTAAACATTTGTATTATTGTTATTGAGGAAAATTACTTCAATTATCATTATTGTTTTATTACACAATACAATTTTTTTTGTGCAAGCATTAGGTTTTCAGGTTACTCTTGTCTTCCGTATTTGATCCTTCATTTTGATCTGCAACTGTGTATTCAAACTCAAAATTAGCTCTTTTAAAGTAAAGTGCCGTGTGCTTATGGCCATACAGAGAAACCTATTTAATATGTACATTTTCCATAGAAGTGGAGGAGTGTTACTTGGTCTCCACTCCCTGCCGTCACATCTCAAAGCTAACTCTCTCACACAAATGAGGAAGCGGTACCACAGAGTGCAGCTTTAATGTCCGGAGCTGTGTGCAGCTGACAGAAGCTAACGGTGATGTTACTTAACTTACACATTAGCAACATAGCTTTTTGTGGCCTGACACATCATTGTTTATCACAAGCAAAACTGTATCTTAGGAACAAGTTGTCACCACATGCCCTGTCCTCAGTCTCAAACTAACTAACTTCATTAGCTACTTCCCTCAACAGATTGCTGTGTGTTTTCTTCTGGACGCTGTTTGACAGATTCATTCTTTATGGTTTATGCAGCTAAATGTTATTACGAAGATTTTGCTGACATATCTTCCTGCTCCCAGAAAGCCACAGCTTTGCCTGTCTCCCCCATTCACTTTCTTGTGTGAGTGCGTGTGAAGGAGGGCGGGGAGGGGTGACAGCCATTAACAGTAACAACTGCGTTTTTAATTAGCGTTATTGGTTGCATTTGAAGCAATACGTTTTACATCAAAAGTTAGTATATTAACAAATAAATCAGACAACATTCAGGCAATATATTGATATTTCCAAAGTTCAGGTCTTGACTGCTCTTGAAATAATCCAGAGTCGAGAACAAGAACAAATGCAGTCAATCCCGAGAGGGGACCGAGACCATCAAAAGGTGGTCTTGAGACCAAGACCGGTCTTGTGTACTACAACACTACTGGTCAGTGTCGGAAAGAATAATACAAAACAGCCCTATGGATGCATTTGGTTGAGATCCTCAAATCTGAAACATCTGGAAGAACAAATATTTCTGTGTCCCAACAACGAAGAAGTAGCTTGTCGATGCTGCATGAGCTGCTCTCCCTCTCTGTCGCGCTCCTCGACCTCTCGTTTCTACTGCCACCACCTCAACAGAGAGGAGCAGACACACCTACAGGCAGGAGAAAAGCGTCTCCCCACAGATCATCACACAAGGTGATGGTCTTTTCAACTTCATTGTTGCAGAAGAAGTGACGCCCACTTTCCCAGGGAGACATAAACAGCTGTGAATAGAAAAGAGCAGAGGAGCACAATCACTTAGAGAGTAGCCTGGCTGAGGGGAAGAAGGAGGTGAAATGCTACCTCCATTTTGTTTGGAGCATGTGGCCAGGAATTACACACTGTATGTTTAACTTATTGTTAAATGCAGTTGTTTATTTTGGTTGTAATTCCTGATGTGCTCTGTGTTACAGTGATTCAGGGCCAGAACAGCTGGGGAGTGACTTACACCTCTACTCAGATCTGTGCCTTAAAAGGATCAACAGTGGAAATAAGCTGCACCTACACATACCCATCCAGAATAAATGGCCGTCATACTAAAGTTAAGGAAACATTCTGGTTTACTAAATTGCAAGATAAAGAACAGTTGCATCTGAAAACATTCTGGTTTAAAGGTGATGAAATTGTGGATCTGAAAACAAAGTCAGAGTATTCAGGTCGTGTCGAGTATACCTGTAATGAAAACTACTGCACTCTGAGAATCACAGACCTGAGAGAGAGCGACTCAGCTGAGTACAAGTTCAGGTTCATAACAAACCAACCAGATGGGAAAATATACTGGTTCACCTGGAGTCACTCTGTCTGTCACAGGTAACATTTTCATCTGAATATGTATTAGTTTAGCTTCAAGTGATCAACAAGATGACTTGCATCTGTGTGTGTTGACAGTTCACTTTAAAATGAAGATTTCTGTTCCTTATTCACATATTCAGATCTCCAGGTGCAAAGTGAGCAGATTACGGGTCTACCAGTCTTATATCTGGGCAGAGATGAATTGTCACAGCAGTTGTCGTCTACATGGTCAGATTGACTACATCTGGTTTATCAAGGGAATGTATGTTAGCAGAGGAAGATCTTATTCACGCTACTTGTATCCTGAAGACGCTGTTTCCTGTGCTGTAGAAGGATATAAGGACTTCTCTTCTCCTTCAGTGTGTGAGTTTACATTCCCTGACATGACACCAACAAGGTCGAGCTTTTAACCTATTGTACTGTACATATGCTGCATGTTACTCAGTGTAGAATTGGATAAAACCAAATCATTTACCCACGATATTGTAGACATGTTACATAATAATTTCTTATTTCCTCTCTTCACTACAAAAGCACTGAATATTTTGCAAAATAACATTTGTCATCATGTCACTGGTTCACAAAATATTGTGACCACCATCATAGACATTCTCTGATTGTGTTTGTTCTGCAATCTTGACCCTTAATTTCAGATGCAACATCCTTCTACCTTGGTATTTCAAATATGAGCCCTACAGTAACATGATATCTTGGAATGGCGTATAAATAGCACGCCACTTTTAAAGACACCTTAGATGCACCCTAATTGCCAATGCACACACACACTTTACAGAAACTGCAGTCAAAAAAATGAATGAAAGAAAATTATCGAAGAAACTTCTTAAAGACGTGAAGATTACCTCTCCTTCAGCGTGTCTTTCCACCACTGCTTCAGTAACAAAGTGTGCAATTAGAATTCAAGGTACAGGACACCATGTAGTTTCTAATACAAGAGGAAATCAAGCCACTCATTGTGTTTGTTAGAAGTTAGAAAGGAAAACAATGATACAAAACAACATCATACTGAACTTCTGCTCTATCCCAGAAAAGTGTGTAATATATCATTTTATACATTTTTTTGTTTGGAAGACTTTTTATAAGATGCACTTTTCAGGCAACACCCAGGAGTAACAAATATTTCTGTGTCCCAGTGATGATAAAATGTGATAAATACCTGATAAAATTCCAGCTGAGTAGTTAGATAGATGCATGATTATGAACTGTTATGTCAATAACTGCAGATTATCAGTCAGATAATTGAGCTTGTCCAGGTCTCCTTTCCACAAATCATATCAGTAGTTTGATCCTCTTTGTCTTATTAACTGAATGTTAAATGAAGTTATTCATTTTGATTGTTATGTCTGATGTGCTCTGTGTTACAGTGGTACAGAGCCTGTTTGGCTGGGGAGTGACTTACAATTCTACTGAGATCTGTGCCTTCAAAGGATCAACAGTGGAAATAAACTGCACCTTTAGATATCCATTCCTTATTAATGACGATTATACTACAGTTGAAGAAACATTCTGGTTTAAAGGTGATGAAACTGTGGATCTGAAAACAAAGTCAGAGTATTCAGGTCGTGTCGAGTATACCTGTAATGAAAACTTCTGCTCTCTGAGAATCACAGACCTGAGAGAGAGCGACTCAGCTGAGTACAAGTTCAGGTTCATAACAAACCAACCAAATGGGAATATACTGGTTCACCTGGAGTCACTCTGTCTGTCACAGGTAACATTTTCATCTGAATATGTATTAATTTAGTTCCAAGTGTTCAACATCTTATGAAGGTTATTGTGTGTGTGTGTTGACAGTTCAGTCTAAAATGAAGACATCTGTTCCTCTTTTATTTATAGATCCTTCTAGTTCGGTATTTTCCAATATGTGCCTTAGATGGACCCTCAAAACACACACACACACACACACACACACACACACACACCTTAAAATGACATGAAGATTACCACTCTCTTTTAAACGTCTTCTTTGCATTAGTAATAAAGTGTCCAACAGGACAACATGTACTTTCTGATACAGGAGGAAATCAAGCTGCACCTCCACTTTGAGTTTGTATGAAATATTGTCCATTTAAAATGCTCCACTGTGAAAATTCAACCTCATACTGAAATTAAATGTTAAATGTGTTCTTGTTTTCTCCTCCAGATGCTCCAAAGCTTCCCTCTGTGTCAGTGAGTCCCTCTGCTGAGATAGTGGAGGGCAGTTCAGTGACTCTGACCTGCAGCAGTGATGCTAACCCAGCAGCTAAATACACCTGGTACAAGGAGAATGGAAATCCAAACCTTCATCCTCTAAGTAAAGAACCACAGCTTGTCTTCAGGTCCATCCAGTCCTCTGACTCTGGAGAATATTACTGTGCAGCAGAAAACAAGCTGGGGAGGAAGACATCTGAATTTGTCTTTATCAATGTGAAATGTGAGTAAACTGCAGCTAACTTTAGGATCATGCCATTTTTCTATATGGGGGTGCCCAACGTCTGATTTTACATAGAACTAGAACTTTTTCCAAATACATTTAGCTGGAAAGAAAATTACTTCCTGGATTTTGTTACATGGCATCATTTTTTGAGTTGTAGGAAGGACTACCTTTTTTAACCCCATGCAATTACATTACAGTATCAACATGAGTCATCTGCAGAAAAGTATAAATATATGTATTGTAACCCTAACCCTGGGTCGTCAGTGCGCATGTCTAAGTGTATTGTGTATGTGTGTAGTGGCAGAGGAGGAACACTTGCTGAAGAGACCAGTGGCGTGGGGTGGGGTAAATTTTTGGGGAAGCCAAGTGAGAGGGGATGTCCTTTCTGGAGGGCAATTATCTAATTTATTTTGCTATTACAGTGCAGGGTATAATTTTACACAAAACTGATTCATACTTTAAACACGTGCACTATCTGTTATCAATACACACGCTGAATGTTGCGTTTACCGAGACGTAAGAGCTCGCGCTCGCGCGCTCTCTCTCTCTCTCTCTCTCTCTCTCTCTCTCTCTCGCTCACCCCAAATAGCACACATAGCCCGCTGCTTATGGTGCAGGTTAAGAATAAAAGAAGCATTCACAAGCTCAATCAGAAGACGACTGAAGACATTTGCATAGTAGCAGTGGTGCATGTATCAAATAGGCCTACATACTTCTTAATGCTTGGCCAAATGTTCATAACACAACATCACTCAAGACTAACAACCGAGTACCAGACCAACAGAGTAGAAACAATTATTCAGGTAGCCTAACCTGGCCCAGGGCCCTGTGGCAGGTGCTGTCCAGAGCTCATTATCTATGCGTACACAACCGCAGTAAAAACAATAAGGTTACTTCAGCTGACTATTCATTCAGCAGCTAACTCCAGGCAAGCAAAGCAAAACAAACAATGTAACCACATCAAAAATCACACACACACAGTTGCAGTTCAGTTAAGTTCATGGAGAGAAGGAGGTGTCATTTCACTCACCCTATTTGAAAAGGAAGGGCATTCTCCTGTCTGTCATGGTGGCGAAGTGGTCAATAACCAAGTTATAGAATTTCCCATTGCAACAGAGTCAACTGAAGTTTGGCGCTACCAGCTAGCCACTCTGTACGGATGGAGTTTTCCTCACTAAACATCCGAAACCCCTTTTTCCTCTCCAGGCCAGCTCCAGTTTTGGCGTTGGTCTTCCATCAGATTTAATCTTAAATTGCTGCTGTAGTGGTAGTTTAATAAAGCTATTTATTATAACTAAACCTCCAAATCTCCACCCTCCATAACTGCACCAGCTAAAGTTGCTAACAGCTCCCGTTATTTCATCTGAATGACGTTGATCGCATGCTGTGATTTGACAGGCGTGAAGTCAGACAGCGGCTGGCTTCCCTTGGCATCATCCTGACTAATCACAGATAGGCAGTGGCATGACAGTGGCCTCATCTGATTGGTTAATCATTTACTTTTTTTTCACAAAGGGATGCCAACTCTGCCTGGCCTCCCCCGTGTAGTCAGACTGCAGGTCAGTCTACGGTGGTGCAATATAGTGTTTCACCACACATCCAACGCATTGCATTAGAGGGACGCTGTTTCACTTATTGTAAAATACTCAGTGAGAAATGGGGAAGAGATGATAGTAACAGTTCATAAGATTTATCGAAAATAAAAACATTGTGTTTTTATTAAAATGAGAAATAGTCTGATAAAAACAGGGGAAGCCTGGCTTCCCTTGGCCTCTGGGAGAAAACGCCACTGGAAGAGACGGAACCCCAGCTTCATTGGTGTTGTGCCGAGTTGTCCGCACCTCGCGGGCTTTCGGATAATTTATCACCGTTGATGAACCACACAAAGAATATTACATTGTTTTTAAATAGTCGGCTATTTTAGACCCACGAGGAACCGTGACGTGCATTCAGTTGTCGGCAGCACGGCATGCACGCAAAACTCTGCACAAGACCAGTGAATGACAGGAGAGAGAGAGAGAGAGAGAGAGAGAGAGAGAGAGAGAGAGAGATCCTTTGTCGGGGAAAGCCCTACTCCAGTTTTTCCAAAATATTTCAACATGTTTGGGTGATATAACTCACCTACGTTTTCTCTAAAACATGTATGAGGGACATTTTTCTGGTCTCTTCTTCGATTTTAATGAGCATAATTCAAGTGGTCCCAACACACAACTCTGCCTGCTGCCAGTCACAAAACCACCTCCAAAGTTTAAGATCCCTCATACACATAACTATTACTCTTTTCAACACAACACAAACAAATTTTCAGAAGTTTTCTGATAACTCTGCTGTGGTTGGATGGATCAGCAAGGGTGACGAGGCTGAGTACAGATCTGTGTTGGGACTTTGTCACAACACTAAAGACAAAGACTAAAGAGCTGGTTGTGGATCTAAGGAGAGCCAAGGCACCAGTGACCCCTGTTTCCATCCAGGGGGTCCCTGTGGACATTGTGGAGGATTACAAATACCTGGGAGTGCACATGGACAATAAACTGGACTGGGCCAAGAACACTCAAGCCCATCTACAGGAAGGGCCAAAGCCGTCTCTATTTTCTGAGGAGGACAATGTCTCCCACCCACTCCATGACTTGCTGCTCAAACACAGGAGCACTTTTAGTGCAAGAGTCATTCCCCCAAAATGCACCACAGAGCACCACAGGAAGTCATTCCTGCCTGTGGCCATCAAACTTTATAACTCCTCCCTTTAAGTTTCTGACACTTAGTCAGTTATTAAACTAGACCTCATTACTTATTTTCTGTCCAATATTACCTGTTTAATAAGTAAAGTGCAATATTCTCTGCTGCTATTTATTCACTTGCCCTTTTTGGTTCACCATAATAACTCTTAATAATGTAAATATTGTACATACCCACACACCTTTATATTGGTCTTTTTTTTTATATTTATACTATTATATTTATATACTCTTTATCTATCTGCCTTTGACAAGTGCAACTGTGACAAAAGAATTTCCCCTCGGAGGCAATAAAGTATTTCTGATTCTGATATCTGTCCTCATTTCTTTCTCCTCCAGATGCTCCAAAGCTTCCCTCTGTGTCAGTGAGTCCCTCTGCTGAGATAGTGGAGGGCAGTTCAGTGACTCTGACCTGCAGCAGTGATGCTAACCCAGCAGCTACTTATACCTGGTACAAGAAGAATGGAAATCCAAACCTTCATCCTCTAAGTAAAGAACCACAGCTTGTCTTCAGCTCCATCCAGTCCTCTGACTCTGGAGAATATTACTGTGTAGCAGAAAGCAAGCTGGGGAGGAAGACATCTGAATTTGTCTTTATCAATGTGAAATGTGAGTAAACTGCAGCTAACTTTAGGATCATGCCATTTTTCTATATGGGGGTGCCCAACGTCTGATTTTACATAGAACTAGAACTTTTTCCAAATACATTTAGCTGGAAAGAAAAGTACTTCCTGGATTTTGTTACATGGCATCATTTTTTGAGTTGTAGGAAGGACTACCTTTTTTAACCCCATGCAATTACATTACAGTATCAACATGAGTCATCTGCAGAAAAGTATAAATATATGTATTGTAACCCTAACCCTGGGTCGTCAGTGCGCATGTGTAGGTGTATTGTGTATGTGTGTAGTGGCAGAGGAGGAACACTTGCTGAAGAGACCAGTGGCGTGGGGTGGGGTAGCCTAACCTGGCCCAGGGCCCTGTGGCAGGTGCTGTCCAGAGCTCATTATCTATGCGTACACAACCGCAGTAAAAACAATAAGGTTACTTCAGCTGACTATTCATTCAGCAGCTAACTCCAGGCAAGCAAAGCAAAACAAACAATGTAACCACATCAAAAATCACATACACACAGTTGCAGTTCAGTTAAATTCATGGAGAGAAGGAGGTGTCATTTCACTCACCCTATTTGAAAAGGAAGGGCATTCTCCTGTCTGTCATGGTGGCGAAGTGGTCAATAACCAAGTTATAGAATTTCCCACTGCAACAGAGTCAACTGAAGTTTGGCGCTACCAGCTAGCCACTCTGTACGGATGTAGTTTTCCTCACTAAACGTCCGAAACCCCTTTTTCCTCTCCAGGCCAGCTCCAGTTTTGGCGTTGGTCTTCCATCAGATTTAATCTTAAATTGCTGCGGAAGTGGTAGTTTAATAAAGCTATTTATTATAACTAAACCTCCAAATCTCCACCTCCATAACTGCACCAGCTAAAGTTGCTATCAGCTCCCGTTATTTCATCTGAATGACGTTGATCGCATGCTGTGATTTGACAGGCGTGAAGTCAGACAGCGGCTGGCTTCCCTTGGCATCATCCTGACTAATCACAGATAGGCAGTGGCATGACAGTGGCCTCGTCTGATTGGTTAATCATTTACTTTTTTTTTCACAAAGGGATGCCAACTCTGCCTGGCCTCCCCCGTGTAGTCAGACTGCAGGTCAGTCTATGGTGGTGCAATATAGTGTTTCACCACACATCCAACGCATTGCATTTAGAGGGACGCTGTTTCACTTATTGTAAAATACTCAGTGAGAAATGGGGAAGAGATGATAGTAACAGTTCATAAGATTTATCGAAAATACAAACATTGTGTTTTTATTAAAATGAGAAATAGTCTGATAAAAACAGGGGAAGCCTGGCTTCCCTTGGCCTCTGGGAGAAAACGCCACTGGAAGAGACGGAGCCCCAGCTTCATTGGTGTTGTGCCGAGTTGTCCGCACCTCGCGGGCTTTCGGATAATTTATCACCGTTGATGAACCACACAAAGAATATTACATTGTTTTTAAATAGCCGGCTATTTTAGACCCACGAGGAACCGTGACGTGCATTCAGTTGTCGGCAGCACGGCATGCACACAAAACTCTGCACAAGACCAGTGAATGACAGAGAGAGAGAGAGAGAGAGAGAGAGAGAGAGAGAGAAGGGTCTTCCAAAAGCCTCTGTTTAGCTGGAAATTTACAGTGCAAGTTGAATGAATAGAGACCACTCGCAATCGCCGTGCATAATAACACACATGATTCGACTATGTAAATCCTTTGTTGGGGACAGCCCTACTCCAGTTTTTCCAAAATATTTCAACATTTTTGGGTGATATAACTCACCTCCGTTTACTCTAAAACATGTATGAGGGACATTATTCTGGTCTCTTCTTAGATTTTAATGAGCATAATTCAAGTGGTCCCAACACACACCTCCAAAGTTTTAGATCCCTCATACACATAACTATTACTCATTTCAACAGAAATCTGTCCTCATTTTTGTTCATTTATTTGATCTTCTTCAGATGCTCCAAAGCTTCCCTCTGTGTCAGTGAGTCCCTCTGCTGAGATAGTGGAGGGCAGTTCAGTGACTCTGACCTGCAGCAGTGATGCTAACCCAGCAGCTACTTATACCTGGTACAAGGAGAATGAAGACTCACCAAAAGCATCAGGACAGAACTTCACCATCACTGACTTCAGAGCTGAACACAGTGGGAATTATTACTGTGAAGCCCAGAACAGAAGAGGACGTCATAACTCCACCTTACATCTGATTGTTGTGGCAGGTACGTTTTTGCATTTAGCTGCACACACTCTGAAGTGTAAAAGTTTTCATTGAAGGCAGGAAATTGTGGACCTCAGCTGGGGATATTAATAAGGGGAAGAAGCACTTTGAGAAGTTTCTTAACCTGACTGTCACGTCCTCTAGATAGGAGGCAGAAAAAAGGAGTGTATGTATCATGGTGAATGGTGCTTCTCTGTGAGCTATAGTGAAAGCACGTAAACTAGAGCACATTCAGACTCTGACACGGCCAGCTGTGCTGAAGAGTTGTTTCTGTCACTGCTTACTGTGTTTTTATTTTAAATTCACAATTCTTCCGCTACACAAAACAGTACTAGTATATCACAATGTGATATACACATTGGGAGAAAGCCTATAGTGAATGTTCACCTTGTTTATAATAATTTTGTTGTTGTCAGTGATTTAAGTGTGTTAGGAGTTTGGTTTTGTGTTCATGTCTTTCTGGTTTAAATCTGTTTTTGGTTCTGTGTTTCTCTGTGTAGTCTTGTTTAGTTAGTTCTTAGTCCTGTGCTTTAGTTCATGTTTAGTGTTTTCTTGGTCGGTGTACTTCTGTGTTTTATTATTATGGTCTGTGTCTTGGTCCTTGGTCTTATGCTCCATGTTTTACTTTGGTAAGTCTGTGCTTGTTTGTTCCCGTGAACTTTACTTCCTGTTTTATTTTGTAATCTTAATAATAAAAAATTAATATGCCTGATGTTCTTGTTCCTGTTGTTAGTTAGTGTATCGTCTTGATGATTAGTCGACCTCTGCCTTTGTTTTTGTACTTTGGTTCATGGATCAGTGTCTGCTTGTGTTATTTTGGTTCATTCTGTATTCTGTTCTGGTTTCATGATCTGTCTCACCTTCCTGTTTCTTTCTTTCTGCCCTGTTAACTGTGTC